TTTCCCTAACCACACTACGTATAGTAACAGCAAACGGGTGGGTTTTTTAAAAAGAAAACTACATTATTTCATTGTTTGAGACAAAATAAATTTTAGTAATACTGGAAAATAGTCATGTGTCAATGTATATCTTTGACTATAAAGTAAAATCAAGCTTTCTTCTGTGTTGCAGGTATGTTAGTGATAGTTAAGGATATATGCAGAATGTCAGCATAAGCCTTACTTTGTTGCAGATATTAAAGATGGCATGAGTTAGGTTGAACTGAGAAAAAGAGTGTATTTACTATTCGTGTTTCATTACAAGTTAGCACTTGATACTATATTGCTTATTAAAAAAAAGATGAAATTTTGTTATTTTTATGTTAGGTATTAGCGCCTCTAGAGTCTTACTAAATTCATGTTTACAGATTCTTGGCACTAAAAAGTCCTTTTTGATTTGTGGAGTGGCCGTCTGACTTGCAGTTATGAAAGCTATTATGCATAAATAATACAAGTCTGGCATGTAATATAATGGAGATACTCATCCAGCTAATGAGCAAGAGAGTAGGTATCCTGAATGAGTGCAAGGAATGAACGGAGGAAATGGCAGGCTAAGCAAAGACAGTGAAAACTGTAGAATTTCTTTAAATGTTACCCAAAAAAAAGGACCCGGAGTCCTTAATACAGTACAAAAAAAACACCTGTGTGTACACTCATCTTGCCTTTTGCCATTCAGATCTTAGATCAGAAACTTCATCTGCAAATTTACAGGTCTACAGACCTCGTTCTTCCCATTATAGTGGAAGTGGACAGCTTTTCCTTTTGTTGGTACATAGGATACTAGTGGTGAATATGATTTAGTCATTCTGAGGTCAACTGGCAGTGGATAGACATTTAGTTTCACCAACGGAAGGTACAGAGGAAAAGGAGATTGGAGGAGAGAGAATAGTGTTCTTCAGTACCTCCTGATATGCTTTGTTTGTCTTGAGGTAGGTTTCTTTGCTAATGTTAAACTGGTTTCAATTGTTGAACTTAAATCTGTCACAGGAATTATGCCTCCCAAACCACTGATGAGAAGAGACCAGATAGAGGGATCAGCAACTAGTTCAGATTCATTTGAACATATAGCTCGCTCAGCAAGAGAGCACACTGTTCCTTTGTCAGAGCCCCGCATGATGTGGGGGTCAGACCCGTACCCCCATGCAGAACCTCAGCAATCTAGTTCTCCTCCCAAAGTGTTAGAAGAGCCTGATGATTTGAGGTAAGCCTGAGTTATGTACTCCTGTGTGTCACTTCTCTGAGCCATACATACTTGCACGCTTGGCTGTGGAACTTACATTGCAAAACACAGTTTAAACTGATTGAGTTATAGCTGCTCTTCACACAAAAACTTTAAAAGGAGTTGTGGCTGCGGGATGCATTGTACTTGGTGCTGTTGTATAAAACAAAAGACATGCCTGCTCTGTAGTATGGTGTGGAAAGACAATTTACCCCTTGTTTAGGATCTTTAACCTAATTTGATGAATGATGATTGCCATAATATTTTGAACTTTCAGTTTTGTAGAACACTCCTGTAGTGTTGTCCTGTTCTCCATCTGCTCTCCCCTATCAGAGAACTTTTGTTTGATGTATATTAGTTTCAAAAGTGGTGTGTTAAGTACAGGTGGTATAAAGAAGACAGTCGCTTTTGACCTTTGCTGAGTGATGAATAGTCAGGAGGGCTTCCTCTACATCTTAAAAGTACCCAAAAATTCTTTTTGCTGTACTGCTGTCTTCTGGGTAATACTTGTGATATTAGCCTGCTAACTTGGAGGCTGCAATTAAAATTGCATGTATAGCCATTAGCAATAATAGATTCCTAAAGCTAATTGTACATTTGACACCAAACTATTAATCAGGATAGAATAAAATTGACCTCTACAACTACCAGCCACTATGAAAATTAAAACTTGTTATTTCCTTGAGCTGACATTAATCCTTCATAGAAATAGAAAATTATTTGATTTAAGTAAATATTTATGAGTAAAATTTTTTCCCCCATCCTAACATTCTTAATTGCTTGCTGCTTAGGTCTGAGGCACACTTGGAGCAAGAACGAGTTGCTGTCCCTGCCACTGCTTATCCTGTAGAACACAACCAGTTGGACTCTCATCCAAAGACAGACTTTTTCAGAGAATCAGGAGAGGTGGAGGTACAAAAGTTCCCAAGCAGGCCTTTGGAAGATGTACAACCTCTTCAAACTGACACACCTAACACAGCAGTTAATTTTGAAGGAGTGAATGAGAAAGTTACACATAGCTCTCCAGAAGAATTGGTGCCTGTGGGCGAAAGTCACGTTTCGCTAAAGAGAAGCATTTCCCATGGTTCAAGTCACTCTCTAAAGTCAGAAGACCAGAGGAATGAGACGGCAACAAATATCCCTAAATTAAGTAACAGGCCTGTTGAGACAAAGGAGACAATTGAGAGACTTGAGATTAAGCCAAAAAAAGAAATTTTGATCAATAATAGAACATCAGAAGGACCAAAACCTGAGAAAACTTTCAAACCCAAGTCTGAAACAAGATGGGGTCCTAGGCCAGGTTATGGCCGCAGAGACGAAGGTGGTGATAGACCAGTAAGAAGATCGGGTCCTATTAAAAAACCTGTGATG